GCTATATAATTATACTATAATAACCCCAAAACCCTATTAATTCTAACGATGAAGGCTTTTTTACCTGGTTAAACTTGCGCGCTGCAATGGAGGGGGGACCCTTAAATTCGGCTACAACGTGGCCTATTGAAGAACAGGCACAGTGCACCGTCCTTGAGGATGCGACGGCACTGACACACATGGGCTTATATAGCGGTCCATGGCGTGCTCAAGGGCTCCGGAACCCTTGATGGAGCCTACAACATTCACCCTAAATGACCCCAAAGTCCTAGACCCCACCCCAAGTCCCCAAACCTTTTTTTCGAACAGCCCCCGGCCACCCCCCCCTCCGCTGCCCCAACATAGTTGCAGAGGCAGGTCCTGGGGTTTCGGCCGGCAGGCTGCTGGTGCATAATACACGCTGTCGATCTCCACAGGACCGGCAGCCTTACAGGAAGCCTCTCATCACTCATCGTAGCGCTCTCTAGCTCTCACCCTGTGTAGGCAACCCCTTAAACTGTTTTCGGGCATTATGACTTCTCATCCCTACATATTCCGAAAAGGTTAGCCTTTTTAGTTCCCCTAGGATGTTGGACAACTTAGGGATCGGGTTGCAAGGAAACGCGCTGCGCAGCCTTGTACTTCACGGGAGGGCGCAGGCGCCGAGTAGCGCGCTGCAAAGGTTTAACCAAGAGTCTCTGGGCCATTCCCGTCTGCAGCGCTTTCCCCTCCCCCAACTGCAGGGCGACGAAGTTTCAAGAAGGGTCTGCAAGTGTAGGCTTTCGAGCATGGCTTGCTTTCCTGTGGAGACAGAAGCGGCGCTGGGATGTTTAGATCTGAGCACGAGGTCCGGGGTGCAGACCGGTACTCGGGGTTGGGCCTGACTTCGGGGTCTCTAGTCGTGAAGGTGGGGGGGGCTGATGAAGAATACAGTGCGCTCCGAAAAGTTTCGGAACAGTCTTATCCCCGTACCCCCAAAAGGTATACGAAAGGGAGTCCCAGCTCTAAGCTGTTTTGGGCCATGTTCCAACTTTCTGGAGGTTGCTGTAATAGAGTTCTGAAGGCCTAGCCGAGATCCCTTTTCGGGGGGCGGGGGGGATCCCTCGGATAGGGTTTAGGGTTTATTGAACTTATTAAGGGTTCAGGTCCGGGGAAAGTTTCGAGGAGTTTCGAGGAAAGTTTCGAGGAAAGTTTCCAGGAGTTTTTTTTTTTGGATTTTGGATAGGCCAAAATTGTCCTCAGAGGCCCAAGTTGGCTTCAGAAGGCCCAAAATTGGCTTCAGGGGCCCAAATTGGCTTCAGAAGGCCCTAAATTGGCTTGAGAAGGCCAAAAACGCGCTTCAGAAAAGGAAGGAATAAGTTCAAGTTTACACATTCGCTTGAGGGTTTAGGGTTTAGGGTTTAGGGTTTAGGGTTTAGGGTTTAGGGTTTAGGGTTTAGGGTTTAGGGTTTAGGGTTTAGGGTTTAGGGTCCTTCAATGCTATTGGTCTTAGCATTTATCATAGAATCATGGCGCCGGTGATTCTGGTTTTTATGGTCGTTGAACAGTTGTTGGGTTATTATTCTTGTTGATACGTCAAAATGTTTGGCCATCATGGCCACAAAGGCCCAATCTTTGGCCGAGGGCGGTTTTGCAATGTCCTGATCCTCTAGCCACAAAGAGCTGCCCCGCCCGGTGGCGCGCTCCGAAAGCATCACCACGGTCGTGTCCAGAAGAAAAACCCACAGCAAGTCCGAGCTTGAAGTGACATGCTGGGAGCTCACCACTGGGAAATTCATTCCTCTACTGCCCGTACTAATTCTTCGAATGCTTTTGTTTTAAGCGACGTAAAGCGACTACTGGACTGGGGCCATGAAGATCCCCAGCTCCCTCACCTTCACCGACCCTAAACCCCTGAACTGGACATCAATCAGCCTTAGAACATGGTCGCAGGCCCCACTGTGCCCCCTGCACGTTTCAGTCCTGAAGTTCGCTTTCTCTGGCGCGAGAATCATTCTTCTGATGTCAAGGATAAGGAAGTCTAGGGAAGTGTAGGGTTTAGGGATTTTTAGGGTTGAGTCTCTTCAAGCTTACGTTCAGAGGGTTTCATTTCAGGCCCGTCAGGAGACGTCTCAGAAGTTGGGACGCTCGCCTTGACCATACGGCGATGCCAAGGAAACACTGCTTTCAACTTTCTATACCCTTGCTGGCGATGGCGAGGATGCAGGCTTATCCGTGAAAGCTGTACAAACTTTTCATCCGTGCTCCTGTAGATCGCGATGATCATACCGAGTTGCCACCTGTGTCCGGTCTGGCCGCAGCCGTCAGATGAGAGTGGTACCTTTCGCCCCGACCCGGAACCCCAAAGACAGGCTGTCCCAGTTTTGCATCTGCCGGCTGCACGACAGCTCAGCAGGGCGAGGATGCAGCGATTTGCTGTCAAGGGTTCCAGGTTCCAGTCAAACAGCTCGTGGACAAGGCGTCAGCGTACGGTGAGAAGATTGGACGGCAGAGGGTTTGATCCAAGCTTTTGAGCCTAAAAGTTCCGCTTGTGCCATTGTGGACATCTTGCAGTCCGTAAGCCCCCATATGCTTGAATACCATGGAATAGAGGTGGCATTACTAAGTTGCCGATATGACCCAATCTGGTACAGTAGTGCATCAAGGAAGGGAGGTACTTTCCAACGACAAGCCCCAGACTAGCAGCCGGTGCATCGCGTCCAACGCAACCGCCGCCAACAATCATGGGGGGCTGAGGCTGAGCAAAAAAAAATGACCGCGAACCGAGGAAATCAGCCAGACGAACTTAAGACCCGAACCCCAAACCCTAAACCCTAGATACAAGGCCCGTAGAATCGGGCTCGGAAGGGACTATAGTGGCCATAGTGGCAGTGTAGGGAAGGTACCATGATGCTCCTGGGCTTGTTCCTCAGTCGTGAAGTCCTGTACCAACATCGTAGGGCTTGGGGGCTTCTTGCTCGTCGAGACGACTCCACACGACCTCGTCGCACACTACAGGTCTCATGCCGCAAACGCCCTGGCAACTTGAGTATAGGCGGTGTGGTGCACATAACTCTACGTGTTTGCTTATGACCTGGGCATCTTTTAGAACAAACAAACCCTAAATCCTAAGGCCTCTAAAACCCTGACAACACTCGACCCGCAGAACACAAGCAGTCCTGACCCTAAACCCTAAATCCTAATCCTGGCTGTTCCTCGGTCCACATGCTGTTTCGAAGCCCACCACTCCTGACGGAGTAAAGAATGGGCCCTCTTAATGGTTGTTGAGTACCACTAGGGGTTTAGGGTTTAGGGATACATCCTTCTGCTCTAGGGCCCGTTTGTCCAAAGCGAGCTTTAAAGGTGGTCCTTCGCTTCGAAGTCGCGTGGCCAAGAACCCAACACTACTGCGCAAACATCCTTCCCAAAAGGCCTGTCGGCAAAGCATTCTGAGCTCCGAGCCTGGAAACGCCCCCACCTGAATCATAAAAGCATGGTCCCGACGTGGTCATCGAATCATGCAATGGCTCACGGAGATCTCAATACAATACAGTATTTTTAACCCTAAACCCTAAACCCTAAACCCTGAACCCTGAACCCTGAACTTCCCTGAACCTTTGCAATCCACCAACCCCTTGACCGTTGAGTCCACCGCCCCCTCTCATGTTTAGTCCCGTCAAGCCTACTTGAACCCTGGAGGGATGAGGGATAAGGGTTTAGGGTTTAGGGTTTAGGGGGGCCAAGGTTGTTTTTTGTTTGAGGTGTGGCTCGGGCTTCTTTTCTTTAAAAGATGTGGCTCGGGTCCCCCTGATCCTCTGGTCCGCTGATCCTCTGGTCCTCTGGTCCCGTGGTCCTCTGGTCCTCTGGTCCCGTGCTCCGCTGGCCCTCTGGTCCTTGAGTCCTCTGGTCCACTGGTCCCCTGGTCCTTTAGTCCTTTGGTCCTCTGGTCCTCTGGCCCTCTGGTGCCATAGTCCCTGCAAAGCTTTCCAAGCATATGAAGCCATCCAAACCGCTTCAAAGCCCCAACCCCCTGTTTTTCTGCGCCCCAACCCCCCCGCTTTTTTTAACCACCCAATCGTTGCAAAGCATAGGCACGATTGAAACCCATCATGCGAGCATTGCCCCCCTAAGCCCCCCGCTTCCCCCCCCCCCCCCCCCCCCCCCCCCCCCTCCCCCCGTGCAAGCTTGCTTCAACGCCTTTGAGTTTTTGAAACCCAACATGCGAGCATTGAGCTTGCACTGGGGCGGGGGGCTGCGCCCCCCCCTCCCAACGCCCCCGCTTCCCCCCCAACCCACCCCCAAGTTTTTAAGCCATGCAAGCTTGCTTCAAAGCATAGGAGTTTTCGAAACTCATCATGCGACCACTGTGCTTGCAAATGGGGGTGGGGGGGGGGGGGGGGTTGGCTGTGCAGCCCCAACCCCCCCCGCTTTTTGTGCCATGCAAGCTTGCGTCAAAGCAAAGGATCCCCTTCAGTTTGTTTTGTCATGCTGGCATTTACAGCATTTGCAGCCTCTGACTATTCAGAAATGCCGCTTGTTAGAATTCATACAAAACTCAGAAATGCAGCTATGCACACTATTGTTACAGTACTTGCAATCTCTGAAAACGCAGAAATGCTTGCAGCATCTTGCAGCCTCTGAAGATGCAGAAATGCTGCTATTTACAGTACTTGCCGCCTGTGAAAACGCAGAAATGATGCTATTTACAGTATTTGCAGCCTCTGAGAACACAGAAATGCTGCTATTTACAGTATTTGCCAAGCCAAGCCGAGCCACAACTTTAAAAACAGGCCCGAACCACACCTTTAAAAAAGAAACCCTCCGCCGGTTTAGGGTTGGAAGCCCACTTGCCTATGAACCTGTAGAATCCCAGAACCCTCACCAGTAGTGGAAGCCTGAACCCCGTACCCAACCAGGGGCTTCAACTAGAACCCGTATAGGACCCTGGAACCTAAACGGTGCAAGCCCCAAGCCCTAAACCCTAAACCCTAAACCTTAACCTTAAACCCTAAACCCGAAACCCTAAACCCTTAAAGCCGCAGGACATCATCGCTTACACCGCCTGCTTAGACGCCGCCGCGCGTGTAGGGGATGCAGATGCGGCCCAGAGGTCGGCCAAGGCTTGTTTAGGGTTTAGGGTTTAGGGTTTAGGGTTTAGGGTTTAGGGTTTAGGGTTTAGGGTTTAGGGTTAGGGTTTAGGGTTTCGGGTTTGGGGTTGAGAGTTTAGAGTTTGGGGTTTGGGGTTTTGGGTAAGGGTTACTTGGGCATCATTTTCCTGGGGGTAACCGGGTAGTCTAGGATCGTATCCCGACATTTCGAGAGCCAGCCGGCAGCCCGAGCGCCCAAAAACACCCACACAAATTTTGGCAGCTTGTTCCCGACTGACGGGGCCGAGGCAAGCTTCGGCCCCCCTGGTCTCAGAATCGGTTTCCAGCAATGCCCCAAAGAGAAAACCGAAACCCAAGAAAGTCTGATCTACCAGGTGGCTCCATCAGTTGCAGGAGGCCATGAAGGGCTTAGGGCGGTTTTGGGCTTAGGGGGCTTGGGGTGTTTTCCAGACCTTTGGGGGCCAGGAAAATTTCATTGGGCTTGCAGGTTTGTCGCCCTCCCAGCTACCCCTAACCCGAAGGTTGTCGCCTCCTATAACTCGACGTGTAGGGATGTGGGCTTGGGGGCCAAGGGCTTCGGGCTTAGGATTGAGGTTTAGGTTGGGGAGGTAGCCAGCTCCCAGCAGAAATCGCCAGAGGTTATCAGGCACCCCCGAACCGAGAACAAACACGCACGAACAACCAAACCACCAACAAACCAACCAAGACAAACAAGACCAACACACGTCAACAGCTACCAACTGGCAACTGCCACCAAGCAAAGAACGTACGCACCAACACAAGCATGACCACAATAATGACGTACATCAAGGCAGCCAACCAACCAAGCAAACCAAAAACAACACAACCCCAACATAGAAACATGGACACCCAGACAGGCATGCAGGCAGACAGAGAGACAGACGAGACCAGACCAGTCCAGGCCTGACCAGACACGCAGACCAACACACAAACACACAAACGCACAAACACACAAACACACAAACACACAAACACACTCAGACACACACACACACGCACAGATATAGACATATATATATATATATATGTATATACATATACACATATATGGAAACGAAATGGCAACTCCTTCACCTGTCCCAGCC